TGGATGCTCAACAGGGGATTAGGTGTATACCGAACCTCTGGGGCTTCGGCCGAAAAATCCCTTGTGTTCATTTACTTTCTTGCAGTTTAATGGTTTTCTGTTTTTATGTTTCTTGTATCTTGACTCTAATACTTGTGGGTCTTGGCCTTTCACTTAGTTTGTTGCTGCACAAAAGAAAGGCGCAAAGTGTGTGGATACATAGCATGGAGGGGAATCTGGTCTTACAATTCGATTGTTTCTCTGTGGTTGCAGCTCAGAAGCTGGTAGAAAGGTGCTATAAGCCTACAAAAATTCATTCAAGGACATGTTAAGAAATTTTCAATTAAGATACGTTTAAGAGAGATGAAGTCATCAGTACATCAAGAAATACTAGAAACTAGTAAATAAATATGTTATTAGTCCACCCAGTCATCAATAATATATTTATTTTTAGCATATGTAAGAATATCGTGATAAGAAATAACACGAGCGAGCTCTTCTTCGGGAGGTGGTAGGAAACTTGTGAATTACCTGATTATGGGCTAGAATAGCAACCATGAAGATTAGACAGAACAAGAAGGTTAGTTTGTTTGCCATTGCTTAGAAAGTGTACAAGCCTTGAAGCAAATAGAAAGAGAAAGGGGGAGAGATAAAGTGTATGAATTTGTGTGAAAAACAGCCGCATTTATAGAGAAGAGCTTTATGTTTCTTAATGCTCAATTGGGTAGGATAAGAATGCGACATAAAGTAACGTATGCTCTTGGGAATGATACCCATGCCCTTAGGTCTTTGTGACCCTCTTTCTCGGACACAAAGTGTCATTTAATTTTTAGATGAGTTTGTTAAACGAGAAGTACGAACGGAACTTGCTAATGTAAGCATTGGGCCTCTATAGCCATGTGTAGATAGTGTGACCCAATTTGACATCTCTAAATTCCACCATAACAAACAACAATCATGCGATATGAACAAAAAGTTTGTCATAATGGTTGACATAATGTCACAATCAGCTTTCCCACACAATCACCCACGATGTCGTCTGTCACTGTATCTAGCCAAATTCTTCTGGCAAAGTAGCATTATTCTAACAGACAAAGATTTTGAATGCAGGTCTCGTTAGTATCTATTTATGAAAATTATGTGTTAACTTTTCAATAAAAAGACGAATCCAATAGCATAAATCACATAGTTTGGGCTCTATTATTTAAAAAAATGCATTTTTTTCAAAACTCATTTTCAACCGCACATTCTCCTATAAAATTATATTACACGTAAATTCATAAAAATTCCTTATTTGTTAACCACATGTCCTCGAAAAAATTACTATTTCAAAACACATTTTCCCCCACGAAATCTCATTTAATGGAGCCCAAACATGGGCTGCGATCTAATAAAAAATTCAACCATGCTACATGTCCACTCTTGTGTACATCTTCTCTTATACTCTGTTAGATGGCACCATCATCCCTTTTGATTTCCTCAATAATCTTTTTGTTTCCTGCCTAAATTATGACACGTGGGGGGAGTGTAAGGGAAGATGTACACAGCAGCATAATTGTAAAAAAAATTGTCCTTTCTTGAACAATTTAAACGTGAATTCTGCACCAACGCCAAATGTTTGCAGTAAAGCCTCATATGTCTGTACTTCACTCAAAACTCAGCAGATGGCTTGAAAGAATTGGTCAGATTTGATCATATTTTTTTTAGCCCAAAAAAGTGAAAACCATGTGGTCTTTGTAATATTTACTCGTGTGCCGTACTCGCAATTAAATTTACACCAAAGAATTTCCTATGGATCCGAACAATAACAAAAATTTCGAAGTTTCTTTCCTTCAGATCCAGATGCCAAGAGAGACTACAGAAACCTTTTTCTTAACTGATTTTTTGTTGACGATGAGAAACCGAACACTGAAAGTGAGTTTCGACCAAGTCAAAATAGTAGAACGAAAAGACGGGTAAGAAGAAATTCTTACGCTTTCTCGCCTCAGTGAGGACAGTTCGGTGTAGTGTGAGACTTGAAAACGATGATATCATTTTAACTCATATCTTCAACACAGTCCTCTCACGTAGGATATATTTAATTTTTTCATTAAAGAAAATAAATTTGTAGCGCCAATACAAACTTAAGATATTTGCATGCTCTCATATTATGTTAAACCACTTGAAAGAAGTTTTTATATCAAGTGATTCAACATGCATCCCTTGAGTCGAATATCAAGTTCGACATCCCATTTACGGATTCAGTTTTGTTCACAATCACATGAAGAAGGATAGAATGGTACCGCCTTGGCATTATATGCCGGAGTTGTTATTGCCTTGCCATGAGGTCCCTGATATCATCCATGTGCAATGAAATACATGAAGGCGATGGGAGCCCCCATCAACATGTGCAGTCACATGCCCCTCTTGGTACATAGGGTCACCTTTCAAGTACCCCACCTCCACTCTACCTTGAAGACAAAATTTTAATGATGAATTGATTAAACACCATATTTTAACAGACAAAATATCAGAATTTAAGTCTCTGGCCATCTATTTATGAAAATTATGCACGCATCGTGTGTTCGATAGAGAAAAATTAAATTTGACTTGTACGCGAGGAGTTGTGGAGTACTGCAGGAACATGCTTGAAGTGAGATGAGCTCGATAGGCTAGTGTGGTGGATTTTCGGACTAAATTCTAGATGATATAGGTTGGAAGACGAGCTATAGCTTTTGGACAAAGTAGCGACAATACTTTACATCTATTGATATCAAAGCTAAAGGTCCCGTGTTTGAGTTGATGATGGAGCATTATCGTGGAGTGGGTGAATAATGTAGGAGCACGTTTGAAATGAGATGAGCTCAACAGACTGGCATAATGTGATTTTTCGGGCTTGATTTTGGAAAATATAGAGTTAATTGTATTAGTGTTTTGAACTCTAACTTTGGAAAAAATGGTTATAATATCATACATTATAAAGATGGTAGTGTCAAATGAATATATTTGTATACTTTTACTAAGTAAAGATGGTAGATAAATTGGTTCAACCGCCCCACCCACCAGCAGGCTATACAGTAACTACAGGCAAGGAGAGAAATAAGTATGGAAATACTCATATGCTACAGTACTTCACCATCCCAAATAGGCCTTTTAGAGAAATTATTTGCAAATTGAGGCTGGATTTGATGATAGAGTTGGACCTTTTTGTCCTCGGTTTGGGAGGTGAGTAGGGCCTTCTTATCAATGCATTTTCTTCTCCCACCACTAGTAGATGCTCATGCGCAACATGTGGGTTGTTGTTGTAAATGCCGTACGCACATTGTACGAGATGTATATACATATAAAAGATATTTGTCGACTGTCATGCCATTAGCATCTTTCAAGACTATGCTAATTGTCTTGAGAAATAGAAGAGGAAAACTTCATCATATTTACGAGAAATAATCGCTTTTAGCAAACGGCTTATTCTCTCGGAAATGTACCTTCAGAGAAGTTACCCTAAGAGAACCTGAACAGGTTGTAGTTTCTTAGAGCAAGAGTAGAAATAGAATGTCTTATGACACGGCCGCAACACCGATTGGGGAGGTCAGTGGCAGATTTGGGGTCATCCCATTTCAATTTTTTTTAATGTGATTTTTCTTTTTTAGTCCGATCCTAGATCCGTCTTTGAGGAGTTACACTTTAGCCCCTGTTTGTCTACTGTTAATCCCAAAAATTGTTTGCTACAGTAAGATTATCCACCACACATTCACCCAATAAAATATTCTACACACAAACCAATAAAGTTACTTTAATTTTCAACCACACATTTTTCAAAAATACTATTCATTTCACTAATT